ACTGGGTTCAGATAGATACATCGAGATCTCTTGAGTGTGTGTGATTGGGGGAGTTGTTACCGATTTCGCGGCGTTCCTTAATGTAACGTCCTTGTGTGGAAACCGCCTAGATATCATGCCAGCAGAGGGGAAGAGAAATTGTATATTTTTTTCACCTTTTGGATAGTAGAACGAATCAATCTATAGAGGAATTAACTTTGTGATTGGGTTGTTGTTTGGCTGGTGGTAAAATGGAGGGGAGATTGGAATGACAGGTACCTCGTTTGATGGGTGGCTTCAAAACTCCTCTATTTATTTCCTGCACCTTTCAAGGGTAGAAGACTGACTTGTGTGAATAAAAAGTGACTTGTAGATTCCAACACCACCCACGCACTCTTAAAGTGCCAATCAAGTCATCCCCCTCCCTTTCCAGAGGGCTTCGGTTCCCTAGCGTGGGTGAGGGGACGGAAGTGCTTGGTGGAGCTCGGACACAGTTTATCACCGCGACACAACTCAAACATGGCCAAGAGCAACGTCATCATTGTCGGTGTCACTGCAGGCCACTTTCTCGTGATTGGAAGCAACTGAGATTCAGGTTGAGTAAATCCCATATGACACCACACACCACCACACAAATGGCGAGTAAGATGACTCTGCATCACACTTGACGATGAGATGGGAAGACGCGTGCCCTCATTGTCACCATCCCACTCCTCTTCCGTATCCTGTTGATGATCAGCTTCCTGGATTATCCATGATCACGTGTGGAATAGACCGTCCACAGTAGACCATAGACAGTAGACAGGCAAGAAACAGGAGGAAGGAAGAAGTGGGTGGGACTAGGAAACGGGTGTCAGACCCTTACGTAAACTGGAAAGCATCTGTGCAACTTTGAAATGGTGACTGTACAGAGGCGGCAGTCCAAAATGTCTCCCCTAGGCGGAAAAGGGGAGGAAGTCGTGGTGCATTATTCTAGTTGCCACATGTCACTGAGCGTCTAAACTCACACCACAAAGATGGTAGCCGGCAAATTTACCTCCTGGCATCCGTGTTTTTATGCTGCACTACATGAATCATCGTGGTGGCCCTTTCCATTGGGTTCTCAATTTTCCCACCTCAGAAGATGGCTTAACGATGTCGAATGAAGGTGTTCTTGCCCAACTACAAACGAAACCCCCTCATGCACACATGCACGAGACTGGTCGACGGGAAAATGAGGTGCCTAAGGTGGAAGTCGTCATAAACGCCACTGGAGAGAGGGAATTATCACCTTAGATGGATGAAAAACGCTCCTTCGTTATGAGAATTTAAGTGTGCGGAAGCCATTTCCCACCTCTCCTCCCCTTGCCCCGCCTCGCCTCGCCTTACCGATGCCCGCAGCCCTAATCAGGTAGAAGGATTCCATTCGACATGCGGCGTTTTTGATTGCGTGCCATGGCTAGCATTTCTTATTCCCCTCCAACATGATGGATTGCGTGGTAGTGTGTGAATTCCGGTGTGTGTGGGTGTGCGTGTGGGTATTTGCGTCTGTATGCCCCGAAGTGGTCGCCTGAAGTGGCCTTGGCAGTTCAGGTGGTTAAGTAATTCCCTTACCGAGTAATACTTACCTCCACCCTATTATAATCCACTTTCGCATTTTTTATTAAACAAAGAAGTACAACGAAAACGCATTTTAAGCCAGACTTGAAAATAACATGGAAAATGTGTATTTGACAACCGCTTTAGGAACAGCCCTTCCTAAATAAAATTACCTCATGAAACAAATATATCCTCTAATGGGTCGGAGAATTAGATGTCCCTTTTAGTCGAGTGACATTTTGTAATTTCACACTAGCACATGTCAACGCAGAGACTCCGATTACAAAGGAATTTGGCGTAATTAGTGCCTGGGTGAAGATAGCGAGGAACAGGGGAGTGGGCAGGGTAAAGGGAGGCGAGGAGAGGCAAGGGGAGGTAAGGTGGACACGGAGTCGGGTTAATTGTTTTTCCAGACCTCCTACAATTGACCACCTCTCAGCTGCTCCTCTCCCTCCCCCATTGTTGTCAAGGCAACATTTCTCTGCAAGTTGTGCCACGAGCATACCACCATGAATGCGTGTGGAAAAGTGGGTGCCACCCCTTTCGGTTGGGTGATTGGTTGATCAGACCGGTGTTGGTTGATGCACTTTACTATCATTAGCCTAATCTGTTTTAAAAGACGGATGTCATCATGCATACCCTAAAATTGTCATATTAGTGTCTCCGCCCAGTACACAATTATTTGACATTTGGATTAATGGATAGTCTCTACCAGAAGCTACATCCCATTGACTTCTATTAAGAAATGCGGGTCATTGTGCCGAACAAAGATATTTGTTGAGAAAGTCAATCCCTTTTGATATTTTACATGACCTTGAAAGTCACCAATCAGCCACCAGATGGTGAAGATATAATTTATCAGTACAGATTAACAGCATTTTGTCAGCTTACAAAAAATTTCATTTTAAAATCATTAGAACTAGTTTTTGAGGAAAAAAGTCCATCGTTTTAAGCTCTTTGAGTCAAATAAAGGTAATGCTCCCCACTGACCAATCAAAATCGCACATTTATGGGGTCTTCTTCTCAGGGAAATTAAATAAATTTCTTCCTTAAAAAAAAGTGCAGATAAGAAAAAAAAACAGAACCAAAAACGAGGCTGGATATTTTTCCTTAATTGTGAATTTCTGTGTTTAATGGGAAAATGTGCAATGTTTTTGAGAGATTTTTATTGTAGAACTCACTAAGTGAATTTTGTTTGAAAAAATGAAAACGACGCCTTTTGAAGATGGCGCACATCTGCCGCACCTAACGCGCTTTTCGGTATTGTGGTGGGCTTTATGACCTCGACGTTGTAATAACTTTTATGCTATAACAAAACTATCAAGTCTGACAAGAATGTAAAAGGGAGGGAGTGGGTTTTGCTTTCTCCCCTTTGGGGATTTGTGATGTAGCGTTTTTTTCCCGGTTTGTTTATTTATGCAAAGAAGACAATAAAACAAAGAACAGAAAAGTAGAGGGACTGATTAATTTGTTGCAATTAAAAAGGAAGTTGTTGCCTTAAAAATCATGGAATAGGTTGTGCTATTTCCCAAGCAGTGTTTAAAAAGTATCAGGAGTGGTTGGCGCTGGAGGCAAAATAAATGTAAAAATTGCTTAAAAAATGTGGTATTTTACAAGAACTTTAGGTAGAGGGGGTCGTGAGACGGACTGAGCGACCTATTGGACTGGTGGCTTTGGTAGCAGGAACTCTGAGTGTGTAGGTTGAGTTGATGGAATGGCAGGAAGGACTGTGGCCTACTTGGAAATGCAGTTAAAACAGATGTCATCGTCTAACTGACCCACTTCTTTTACACTCCACTCACCTCTCCTCCCCTGCCGTCTTCCGAAGTGGCATCGCCGACGTTCTGCGTAGTCATTCTTCTTTGTTGGGACTGCTGAATAGCGCCTCCTCGTGCTCTACTACGCCACACGTGTGGGAGTGGGATTTTTATTGGCAAGAGGAGGTCATGTGAGTATCTGGAGAGGGTTTTTCGCTCAGGATATGCCCAACATCTGACACTTGGTGGGAACTTGTTCCCAAAGGCGGAGAGGGCAGGTCAAGGCGGGTTTCATGCTATCCATATGGGATGTGCTACCATGGAGCTAATCGCTGTACTCATGGCGATTTCACAGGCAGAGGGTCTTCTGGCGTAAGATCGGTGATCACCGGCCTTGCATTGAAATGGGAAGGAAAGACGTGATCACCTGAAGTGTCCGTCCACTGTTGTGAATCTCTCACCACGGCTTAACTCAGTCGTCTGCACCCACAGTCAATGTCGCGACATTTTGATATTTGAGCTTAGCGTCGAACCGAGTAAATGGAGGACGTTCTTCGCTTGGATTGGCTTTGCCCACCAATGCCACCAGGTGCCACCAGGTGCCACCATCAAGATGTCTGTTGTTCCCGGGTGCTAGTCAAGTGAGCCGAGGGACTGGATGCTGGGATGACATGGATTCTACGCGTAGAACGGTGGAAACCATAGTCTCCATGGTTTAACGAGACGCCAGGTTGGAGGGCTTTTCTGTGATTACTGCAGTTGCAAAGTTGCCATTTCTTTTCCTCTTTTTCTCCTCCTTTTCTCCTTTTTAATTTACTTGTTGTGTGCTTTTAGAATAAAGACGGAATTTGGGTGCAAAATCGAATGAAATCAAGGTTACTGCAGCAGCGATCGCCTATGCTGCAGGTGCTACAGGTTTGGATCTTTAATATTTCCATTCAACGGACTCGAAAGTAAGGCTAAGGTTGTGGTGGAGGCGAAATTTGAAGTGGAGGTTGAAGATGAGGTCGAATTTAAAGTTAATTTCGTTATCCTTGTAGAGGGTGGTAAGTATTCATGACAGATGGCCACTGTCTAGTCGGAGAAGCTAGGATGATCGTATTACCTCACCCCCACTACGAATGCAGCAGTGCCAAAGCTGTCAACAAGGCATAATGATGTGAAAATTGGCGTTTTGTTGAAGGCTCTACTATATTCCACCTGTAGAACATTTTGTGTGCTGATTATGAAGAGAGCTGTCGGTGGTGGCTCGTCTTTACGCCGCTGTACACCAAGCAAAACTAAAAGCCTTTTTAGAGGAATTGAAATTTAAATCGACAACGTTTGACTTTACTGCATTATAGGGAGCTAAGGGGAGAGAGTAAGTGAAAAGAAGAAGGGAGGGAGAGAGTAGTAAGCAAACTGATAGAAACATAGAAGAGAGGAAGGAAAAAAATATCGAAATGTGTATTGGTTTGAGAAATAAGTGGTTTTGAGGACTTTAAAATTACTCTGCAAAGCAAAAAATGGCACCTACAAATCGCATCATTCGCAGGTAGAAATGCTAGAAGGCGAAGCCACTTAATAAGAAGCATTGGTTCCTCCTTTCCACCTCCTTCGCATCTCAACGGGCGATTGGCTGAATTTAACGAGTGAATGTGCATGAGAAAGAAAAACAAAATATAAAGAACACGTGGAATACAAATGGAACACTGTGTGAATGAATGACGTAGGGGAAAAGGGAAGGACAGGACAAAAGATTATTTCGACTGAATAAGGCGGATGAGTAGGTTGGGCAGGATCTGTTTAACATAAAACTTGGAAGGATTTGCGGATCTTTGTCACGTTCTCGTTACTGAAATTTGTTTGGAAGCGTGCGTGGGTCTACTCATATGAAATAAGTAGGGAGCTCTGTGATCTAGTCAAATGGGGAGATAAGGTAATAAATCAACTGTAGTCTGAGTTGTTAATAATTTGGTAGTTTGTTTAGCTACATAGTTGTCCCTCTCATGGGTGTAACTGCCATCTTGGTTGGGGTGTCGTCCCATTGGTCTTACTTCTGTCGGCGGTTTAACAACTCAGCCTTTCCATATATTTTTAGTGGAGCTGAATCTAATTAAATTTAGACACCCTTCAACTCGTTATGGAAGGATTCCGTGTTTGCATTTGTGATAGATAGAATTTGTTCCCTGGATACTTTTGCTTACTACTACAGCATTCAAAACAACGACACGATGACCTCTGACTGGGTGGATGGATGATTTAGCGAAAGTGCAAAAGATGAGGGCCATGCAAACCACGTCTACAAATACAGATTAGTTCAATCGTCAGCTTAAAAAAATCTCATCAATAAGCGGTTTAAGTACATCTGTGGGGTAAACCCCTCCCCGGTGCCTTCACTTAAGACTTTCAGAGTGGTCCCGCACACTACTCAACTACTGATTTCACGTCTGCTTGTGGTATTTTGGCGTATTTTTTCGATTCTAAGCATGAGCATGCAGCTTAGGGAAAGAAAATACACAGTTTTATATGTGAATTTTGTTGAAAGTAAAGCATGCAAACAATCTGTTTTGGTGAGAGTGTGCTACTGAATTACCCAAAGTAGCGTGATCGCACTATAAAAAATTTCACAATGCATTGTACTGCGGAGATGAAGTACCATTCCTGAATACAATGAATTTAAGATGTCTGATTGGAGTCGGAGGTTGCGTGCTCCTCCCTCACCCAGTCTCCTGTCTGCAGAAAGAAAGTATTTAGACCTGACCAGCCCAACTTCGAGCTATTCGTCTTCGTTCACTTCTCTATGGAACACGAAATACATTGCTTTTCACAATCCTGTAAATATATTGAAGTTAAGTGGAAAAAGTGAAAAACAAGTTGACTGTCCTCCAGACATGTTGGCTTTTATAAAATACGTCGTACCGTGTGGCTCCCAATTTCCTCACTTTCTTTGGCTACTCCTCTTGCCATTTCCACTTAAAAGCCCCCTTGACAATATCATCTGTCAACCTTTTCTTTACTAGTTACAAGTGGATAAAGGGACTCTTCTCACGAGTGATGCATTCATCTTCAAGTGTAACAGTGACAGAAACAGTTTGTTTATAAGATGTGTATTGCACTTTCCTTCCAAGGCCACGCGGCAACGCTTAACCCTCTTCCATCTGTGTCCATGTGATTGTGTATTACGAATACCAAGAAAAGGTAATTGGCACCACTTGGAGCTTAGAAGAACAGCGCCAGAAGCACTGGGGTAGAAAAGGTAAGAAAAATGCTGCATCTCCTTGACACCCTATACCGTGCCAAGTCGTATTCCGGGTAGTGGCGTGTTGGAATGCCTCAAGATGTCCTCTAATTCAAGTATTCCCTCTTCACAGGCTTGGTTGGACCTGACCCTTTACGTGGACAAACTTCCTCTTCAATATTGAAAAGAACCGTCTAACCTGTAGGAAGTTCACCTTCATTAGCGAACTTTACTGGAAAATTGTAGGCTCTACATACAACAATTACCCTTAATGTCGTTGTTCTGTGAGAGAGTACTTTCTACATAATTAATAAATAAATCCTGCAGAGTACTTTGTTTCACAAATCAATCCAAAGGGCTACCACTTCTGGTTAAAAATTGGTATCACATCTGAAGCGATAGGCCAAATGAATGGCATACCTGGCAAGTACTGGCTTGCCACGAAGTAGTCTTTAATGAGAAAGATTAAGCTAATTGACAAAAGCGACATTGTGACAAGAAAACTTTCCTTGAATTTTGGTAGATCTTCATCGATTAGTTGTAACTTGCAGGAAGACATCGGGTGTGTACGTTATAAACCAGGAAGACGGCACACCTCATACCAGTTTTTACATCCTCAGTGAGGTTTTGACACTTCTCCTGCCTCCACAGATGTAGAGACACCAAAATCTGTCGACATAATTGTCACGTGGCCTTGGAAGTCATTGTCGGAGAAAGCACCACCCACACATAAAGAAGTTGATTCCATCGAGAAATTACTCAGTGGTGAACGAATCGCTTGTGGAGAAAAGTCTCTCTTTATTCACTTGATGAGAGTAGTGGAAAATGATTTGTCACTGGTGATCAAAAAGGGCGTGTTAGGTAGACCTTTCACTGGGAAGGGAGGGCGAAGTGGTAATGTAGGCCAAACTATCGGGCACCGCACAGTAAGACGCATGCAAAAAAGAGGGAAAATTCGGAGGATTCTTGACTTGGCTTTTGCCTCTTCTACTTGTTTTTAAAGTATTTGACAAATTTTGAAAAGCAACTTCTTTTAAATTCCACAGATAAGCAAACGGTGACGAAGACATCAAAGTATAGTTGGTCTGATCTGATCGCTTTCCGACTTCATAAAGGAGCTTGGATAGGAGTGGTACTCGTAAATTCCTCCCTCACTTGGTGACCCGCAACCTATTCTCTTCAGCAAAATCAATGAATCTTTGAGGTACAACGCATTGTAAAATGACACCTATTAGTTTGACTGTTCTACTTTGGAAAATTCAGTAGTATGCCTGGCCTAAATAAAACAATCACAGGTATCAATTTCCCGAGTTTCACATCCAAAAAACTAATATTTTTTTTTCATCCAGAAATGCCACGTCACACTTTGGAGTGAAAAAGTACTCCGAAACTATAAAAACGGTTGTAGAACAGGTGATTGCATATCGTGGAGGCCCTCTCCGAATTCCATGTGGGTGGACACCGTGAAAGGATCTGCGACACGAATGTACTTAGGTCGCTCGAACGCGGCATTACTTCAATCGATGATAGCCATCTTGTGAAAGTGTCGATCGGGATGACTGCTAGGTGGTGTTATTTAGGCACCGCCCGCCCCTTCCTTGAACCTCCAATGAAACACCCACCTCCCATGTACCGCTAAAGCAGGCATGGAATCTTTTTTCATCGAGATTTAGATTGCCTCAGTTTGAAGAGTCAGCTTTGCTAGGAAGGTGCAGGCGAGTTTAGATGACTCCCATATGACAGCAGTGCAACCAACGCAGCAGCACTTTTGAAACAGCAACTAGAGCTGTGGTAGCCAAGACATCCATGCAGTTAAACAAACCACTCAACTGGATAACATTTCTGCTTCAACACAGACAATCTCAGATTGGACACCTCACAAGGGACAACATCTGAGGCTAGATGGTAGAACGCTTCATATTTTGCTAGCATCGAGATGGCAGCACACGCCGACCCTTCGGGTACAAAAAGCACTCAGTGTTTCAATTTTTGCCCTGTGAAACAACTTCCACCAACTCTTGTCAATCTACTTCAGTACTCCATCGTGTAGTCAGTCAAAAAGTGTTTCATTATGAAGGGTAAGAAACAAGGAAGGTGCAACACATCACACGATAATATGATTTACTTGCGTTGAAGAAGTGAAACACTCGCATAAATGAAGAGGGGAGAAGAGAACGTGTGTGTGTATGTGTATGGGAGAGTGGGAGAGAGAGAGAGAGACTGAAATTGATGAAGTAAAACAGGGCAGTGATAGGTATGTGTGTGTGTGGGAAGTGGAAGAGGAGCAGAGGAAGGGAGGAAGGGTGAGAGAACGTAGACTTAAAGGGGCGAAAGTAGTGGAAGGCAGGGATACATATTGCCGCAAACCATACTTGGGGCATGGATGGAGAGAGGGAGGAAGGGAGGGAGGAAAGAGCACGAGAGGAGCCAGAACACCGTCAATTCAAATGCACACAGGGACGGGAAGGAGAGGAGGAGGGGAAGGGGGGAGCAAAGGAGAGTCCAAACGCGAAACCACGTGGTACGTGCTACGTCACGTCCCATCACATCACATCGCATCACATTATCTCATAGTCCTTCCATCGGCCACTCGCCTGCAATCGCTTCACTTTGGCGCGTACGCTGTTGGCATTGCGACGGCCCTGTAACTGTGAGTGTGCCATTCGACGACGCACCTCGTTGAGGCTCGGGCAACTGCCGTTCGCGAAGAAGTCACGGAATAACTACAATTCATAACGTCACCTACTTATTTCAAATCGATAGATTCAGTCGTAGAGACACAAAATTAGGTATTAAAGGCGAAAAAGTAAATCAAGACGGTCCAAATATCTATGTGACCTCGTTCTATCCACCTCGCGACCTCCCTCCCTTCCATCGGTGATTCACACAGTACCTCATTCATTCGTATCACATTCTATCATCTCCTCGGTCAAAAACAGGAAGCATTCCGGGTTCTTCGAAATCGAGGCGATGCACCACTATCTCGCCCGTATGGATAATTCACTAAAGAATCATCAAAGCGACAACGACGCTTCCCATATATTGCCCATTTCAATGAGCATGTGAGCAGAGTAGTTGGTAAATAAGTGACTTGCTTTGACAACAAACTGGGTCTCGTAGTCGTTGAAGAAGCGATTGGGCGGACCCCGAGTGAAGGAGCGTGCCCTGATGCCCTGATTATCCGCAGGTCCAGGATGGTGGGGAGGCGGAGGGGGATGCAACGGGGGTTGACCACTGCTACCTCCATGGTAGGCGCGAGGATGGTAACCACCACCACCGCCGCCACCACCACCACTGGGATGGTGAGGCGGAGGCGGCGCGAGATGAGGATTACCACTAGTCGAAGCGGTTGTCGTGTTGCCTCGACTTGTCACTCCACCACCGCCACCTCCACTACCGTAGCCGCCGACTTGAGACTGTTGGGAGTAGTAGTCATAGTTGCCAACGCCACCTATTTCACAAATAAAAAGCACTTTAGTAGTCGGCCCACTTCTGCCTTCTCCGTCTTTTGGTTCCCTAACTCCCCCCTCCCAATAATGCAATGAGGCCAAACTGAATTGAATCGAATGGAATACTTCAAGAAAGGCTTCCAGTTTTGTTGTGTGTCCAGCGATATGAAGACAAGCCGTCACCACCTATACCTTCCTCATACCACTGGGCAAACTACCCCATAAATAATTATCAGCACACGAAATGTCCTCCCGGTAGAACATGGCTGAACCTTCAACAGCACACCAACATCCATATCGGTTGACCTTATCAGCAACTTTGGTACCGCTGCATTAGTGAGAGAGGTGAGGCACAACGGTAGTCGTGTGTCATGAATTCTTGCAATCTTCCGCAAACACACCGAACTTCATTACAGCTTCGACTTCCACCTCCACCTCGACGTGGGGTTCTACGCGGAGTGAACATCTTGAAGTGTGCGTGTTACATGAAGAGGAGAACCTGAAGCATCTGAAAACAACTGATATTCGTCCACTCAACCGACCGCAACTCCCTCATCCTGATTCTCGGCTTGACTCGCAGGATTGAGTCAAGCTTAACCACAATCAAACACGTCCTTGTCCCCTCCTCTCAGCAGACCATCGAGGCAAGCACGGAAGACCGAATCATCACATTTCCATCATTGCCAGATAAAGGCAGCGTCTGCCACTGACAATGAGTGACCGCAATCGCTGCCTCACGCACTTCGCGTCCACTCGAAAAACATCAAATAAGGAGACCTACAACATCTACAGTGTTAATGCGGGCGATTTTTCACCCACATTCCTTCTTTATTCCAAAAGCAGGCAATAAGAGAAGTGAAAAAAGAAAAGGAATAGAAAAAAGAAAAAGAAATTGCAACGTTGCAACTGCAGTGATAACAGAAAAGTTCGCCTTCTTGACGTCTCGTAAATCATTGTGGCGCATCCAAGTGGTGCACACCTTCCAGTCTACTTCTCACTCACAGACCGTTATGCCAACGTTAACCGTGGAGGTGTTGGTTTCCACTAACCTACGTGCAGGGTCCATGTCATATCAGCAACCAGTCCTTCGGCTCACTTGACTAGCACCCGGGAACAACAGACATCTTGATGGTGGCACCTGATGGCACCTGGTGGCATTGGTGA